CTACCTACTACCTACTACCTACTACTACTACTACTACTACTACTACTACTACTACTACTACTACTACTACTACTACCAGTACCACTACCACTACCACTACCACTACCACTACCACTACCACTACTGTTGCTACTACTGTCACTACTACTGTCACTACTACTGTCACTACTACTGTCACTACTACTACTACTACTACTACTACTGTCACTACTACTACTACTACTACTACTACTACTACTACTACCACTACTAAGAGCTTACTGTGCTGGGCAGAAGGCTTGTTGGATTGGGGAAACTGAGGTCTCAGATCGGCTCTGACCTCCGCTTTCAAACAGAGGTGCGAAGAAGGGTTTAGGGTTGAGGGTTGAGGGGTTTACGGTTTAGGGTTCAGGGTTCAGGGTTGAGGGTTTAGGGTTTAGGGTTCAGGGTTGAGGGTTTGGGGTTGAGGGTTTAGGCTTGAGGGTTTAGGGCTTAGGGTTTTGATAGAATTATAACTATCATGACCCCCATGCGCCTCAGCCCAATAATTCTGACCCCCGTAAACCCTGACCCCGTAAACTTAAGCCCTAAACCCTATATTCTGACAATCGCCCTGAAGGTAGCCCGAATCCTTTAAAGGAGCCCTACTCTACATTAAGACATAACGCTAAACCTTCTAATGTATCGTGTTGGCTTCAAATCCATCGGGTTTTCTTCAGAGCCTACAAGGTTTGGTGGGGCACTTGGGGCTTAGGGTTTAGAGAAAGCTTCGTAAAATCGGCGTGGCCTTCTGCAGTACACTGGCGTCTGAAGACCTAGGTAGTGTAGGGTCTCCAAGGAGACCCTCGGCCCCCGATGCATTAGGGTTTAGGGTTTAGGGTTTAGGGTTTAGGGTTTGGGGGTTAGGGTTTAGGGCCCTAAACCCTAAACCCTAAACCCTAAACCCAGGAAACTGCTCTCTGGTACATCCGAGAAGGATTTAAGTTCTCAAGCTTACTCTCCCAACCTTAAAACAAGCACTGCGTGCAAAGACTTCACGCAAAGTACGACATCCTACACCAAAAAACCCTAAATCTCAAGCCCTGAACCCCTAAACCCTGTCTGCTCCGAGTGACGAAACAGCGATCAGCGCGAGAGGCGAGCTGCTGCAAGGTTTCCTCATAGCTGCAGGACCCCTAGAAAAGCCCTTACAGGAACCCTTGAAAGAACCCTAAACAAAAACAAACCCTAAACCCGAAAAGAAAAAAACTCAAAGGAACCCTTACAAGGGGCCCTTCCCAATGGGTACAACCTTAAAGGAACCCTTAAAAGGAGCCCTTCCTAATGGGTACAACTCTGCATCGAATAGTTAAATGTTCACGTCAGATTCAGGAGGGGCCAGGCCGCTGCAGAACCCAATATAGCTTCAGTACGCCCTCGGCTTATGCATCGTCATGGAGCTCAAGACTATCCCACAAAACCACCCACAACAACCAACACACGGCTCATGATCTAAATCCTGCATGACCTTAAGGACCCTAAACTATGGGATTTATCGTATATTCCTCAAAATGGGTAATGCAGGATTTACATCATCAACCGTATCTGTCATCCAGCGCATGTCTCAGTCCGATACTTCCGACTGAGACTTCCTTCCTGCTCGGCTTCCACCATGGCTTCCTTTAGGGCCCCAAAAAAGCAACTGAAGTCCGGAACCTTGTTTTTAGGGCCCCAAAAAGCACATAAGCAAAATTTAGAGTGGGGATATCCCATATAAATCCCCTCATAATGAAGCCCAAGAGGGTAGGGATATCCCTATAAAATGCTTACGCTTATGTGCTTTTTGGGTCCCTAATCCTTGGCCTTCGTCTCATGGCCACGGTAGAACGGTTTAGGGTTTAGGGTTCAATTAAGGTTTAGGGTTTAGGGTTTAGGGTTAAGGGTTTAGGGTTTAGGGCTTAGGGTTTACGGTTTCGGTTTATAGTCCTGCGCAGTGCTGGATTTCCTTAGCTTGCACGACAGTACGTTTGAAGCAATAAGCAACGAATATGAATCTAAAGTACTCGATGCATGTCTCGGTCGTCACAATTTCCACTGTGGTGGAAGTCACATCGCCATTGGCTGCCATCCGTTGTTTGAGCAATCGTTGTCGGGCAGCACCTTTCTGCTCCCTTGCCCGAGTCATCTCGAAGGAGGCTCTGTTGTAGTCACTACAGCGCAAGCTGGCACGGGCATTGATGACCGCCTAAGGACCTGCTTAGGACACCAGAAAATCTGTAGAGAATTCCGAAGACAGCATCCCGATTACAGGACTGACGCCCATCAGCTAGTCATCAAAACGATCATCACACCACCAGGAAGCTAAGACTCGGAATGAGACGACGACAAAGAGTAAGACCAAGACTCAGACTACGTAGGACAAAGACCCTAAACCCAAAACCTCTGAACCCCTACACCCCTAAACCGGTAACCCAAAACTCAAAACCCCGAAACCCCTAAACCCCCAAACCCCTAAACCCAAAACTAAACCCTAAACCCAAAACCCTAAACCCGTAAACTCACAAAACTGTCTGGTGCTTAGTAGGGAATGGGGGAATGGATCCCTATGATAGTCCCTTCAGGTCCCTTATAGTAGTCCCTATAACCCTAAACCCTAAACCCTAAACTAAACCCTACATCCTACACCCTAAACCCTAAACCCTAAACCCTAAACCCTACATCCTAAACCCCAAACCCTAAACCCTAAACCATTCCCTACTAAGCA